ATTCATTGTTAAATACGAAAACAAATTAAACCAAATTTGTCATATATTCCCATTCATGCACGTTGCAACAAAATTGCCACATGTAAACTTTCTGCTTCAGTATCACATATCACAATATCATGCATGCATAACTTCCTCAAAAAGCTTAAAGATATGCTGTAATTATGCATCAAATTAAATAAATGATTTAGTTTATCTATCTCTTATAATTAAGAATTTTTTTTACATCAATTTAATTATTATAAAAAAATTAAACATCGTATTCTCTTATAATATAATGTTTATATAAATCTCAGGCTTACTCTACCCAACCATGATGAATAAATGTAGCATTACTTGGTCCGTTGTTTATTAGGCAAAAACTTGTGTGTTCCTCGCATGATTTTTATGTCTTTCTTTGTATGTTCAAACCTAATATAGGGACAAATTCTTATTCTCTCTCATCTCATAGAAACAACGAATTTGTACCAATAAATCTAGAATAATAGTATAATAAAACATATCTAGAAGAAAATTACAAAAATACGATCATTTGAGTTTATCACATTGCGAAAATAAGAATCAGAATAATAATTGTTTGATAATTTTAAAGTGATTGTTTCACTGCATTCAGTATTAAGCGGGATTGAGACATTTTTAGATTTTCATTCTAATTGCATTTTAAATTCTATAATTGTAAAATTGAAACTCATTTATTTTCAAGTACAATATTAAAAGTAGAAAAGTATGCTAGTATAGATAAAATAGGAAACAAAAGTAACCCTCATGTAATTTATTTAGAAACGAAAAACTTGTACAAATAATTAACTTGTATAATCAGTTGTATGGTACTCATAAAAATTTCACAAGTAGGTAATATTTTATCATATTTATTCTAAAACAATAGAGGAACTTTTTTCGGTTTTTCAATCGTTAAGAATTGAATCCATATCAAATAGTATATAATAACTCACGTACTTTATTTAGTCAATCAATTGAATTATATCTCCTTGACTTTTTGAGAGAGTTTATAATAATGTAATACTAATACGAGGGTCCTTTTATACTTAAATTTGTTACACCTTAGTGTGATTAATAGGTGATGTTCTAGGCTCTAATAATATTTAAGTGAGATACGTTTAAGATTTAAAATTCAAATAAAATAATTAAAAAATTAATCAAGATCATGTACATGTATTAATGATAATCCAAAATCACTGAATAATTTATAATTTACATATAAAAGGTGACCAAAGGTAATATTATCTAATTATAAGTTATAACTACATAAAACTAACTTTTAATAAACGTCAAGCTATATTTTTAAGAGTTCCAACATTTTCTTAATTAAGACTTTTAAAACATCAAATTAAAATTGATCACTTTGTAAAAAATCTCTCATAATTTTTTTCTGAACGTTTATTTTTAATTCATACATAAATTAATAAATAAGTTGGTTTCATAGTTAGATATTTTCTTCACTATAAATCGTTCTATTGAAACTCATCCAAAAACATGGTCATAGAATATTTGATAGTAATCTCTCTTTTTTTCATAGATGAAAAAAAGGCTTTTCCAAATCCTTTATCTTATGCTATTTATATATTGGATAAGTTAAGAATATTAAGATATTTAAATGATATCATTTTAAACATAATAATAATAATAGCTATGAAGAAGACATGTTCAAAGATATGCTTTAAAGAATAAGGATAAATTCTTACGTGAATTTGTTTAAACCCGGCCACGTAGGTATATACGTGTTTCGTGGAATGGATTTCTTTTTCGAATTACACAACAAAAATGACTTTTCAACAATTCACACACACAAAATATATATTATCAATTTTAAAAAATAAAAATTGGTGAGGGAATTCAGCAACAAAACATACACGCAGATATATCTATCAATGTGTTCGGGAATAAAACAATACCCTTCTCTATTTAGCGACGAATCGATAGAATAAAATAGGGTCATAAATAGCGATGGGACTTAAAGACGGAAATTTTCGTCTCTAACTTCTTTATTGCAAGTTTTGTCATTAAATAAAAACAAATTTGTGGCCGAGACTATTTCAATCCACTGCACAGTGATCAACGTGATTCTGAAAATTGAGGACTGTGTCTTGACTTGGCGGAATGTGTAAAGAGACATTCCAGGGGTGAAGATCATGATCTTAAATTATGGATGAAAGGATTTGTCTCATGTTACAAAGAAGTTGGACAGAAAGCTCCAAAAATTTCGTTAAGGTGTGTAAAGAAGCATTGATGAAGAATACTACGAAGACACATGATTGAGATTGAATAATCCATGAAAGTACTTGTTATAAAAACATGGGAAGATTCATCAATGGCCTAAATAAGGATATCCAAAATGCAATGAAATTGAATGGCTATCATTCTTTAGAACGTTCATATTGTAGATTTGAAAATTGAAATGCAAATCAAAATAAGGAAAGTGTTTAAGAAAAGTTTTCATGTTAATAGCAATGTCTCTTCTAAAGCATAGAAAGATAAAAAGATGTTTGAAAATTCTTCTTGTTCTTTTGAAATCTAAAAAGATTATTTGGGTAGCTCAAATATATTTCTGTTACATCTATTTCTAGGGGTCATTCTACTTCTATGTCTAATCATAATAAGTTCTATTAAATGCTTTGGATGTTTAGGTTTATGACACATAATATCCGAATATCCATTTAAAAAAACCATGATATTATAAGAAAAAATATACCATAGAATATGAACATTCTTTTTCTTTTTCTAATCCTTTTCTTATTCATGGTGTACCTACGAAGAAATGTGACATTAATAGTTAGATAAATTATTGGGCAAGTCCACAAATATTCCAATAACTCATAAAGAGAAAATATGTTTTACTTTAAATGTCTAATAATGATAAGATATGTGCATTAGTCATTGATAAAAGAAGTTATATAATATTTGAAAGATAATGGTATTTATCAATTAGTCCTCATTCTCAATCTTATAAACTCGAAAGACTAAATGAAGAAGATGAAGTTTTGATTTCCTTTTATATTTTAAGATGTGAAATTGTGAAGAGAGATAATAAGAAACTTTAAATGTATAGGAGAAGAAATTGATAACAATCAATTACAAATACTTTAATGGAAACAAATTGTCTAAAAGGAAAAATAATAGAAAGTATGTTACCAAAACTTCTTAAAATAGACAAATTGATAACTTCCTTTGCTATAATGGTTTGAAGAAAAACGTCACTTAATAAGAATTAGAGAAGGTACCATATTTTAACAAACAAACTGAATTATTGAGATTCCTAGCGAACACGATACCATAGCAGACGTGTTTTATCACTTTAATTATACACATTATATTTGAGAGTAAGTCAACTTTAATGATTGGGAAACAAAATTTGCACGAGAAAGCATTGCCTTGTGATAATTAAGGTTTTTGAAAAATAGTTTGCTATAGTAAATTTTCAATCACAGCAAAAAGATATTTGCTTTCATGTTTTGACTCTATTCCCTTTTATTCTAAAATCATATATTTGCATTTTAACGGTTCTTATATATATATATATATATATATATATATATATATATATATATATATATATATATATATATATATTTTTTTTTTTTCGGATTCAATGCTTTAAGAACAATGTGTATTTTGTAAGAAAAATATTTATGGTAAATTCATAAGTTTTACATTATTATTTAGAGTTGATGTCAATCATAATTTACATATATATTTTATTTTTAATCTATCGAATCGTTAAAAATAAAATAGTAATAAATGAAAGTTATAATATAGATAATATCTCTTAATAATAAACACGAAACAAATAAACACGAAACAAATATACTCTTATGAAACACATAAAAAAATTACAACTTATGATGATAAAATTCTTAAGTAAAATTCATATTAGACTATTAATAATCAACCTAAATTTACGTTTCTTAAATTTATATTTCTTATGTTGATTTTAGACCTTATTTAAATGTAAAAAACATAAAATAACAAACGTGTGTATATTAGTGTTTGTTAATATTTGTGATAAAATATTATAGATGAAATAATAAAATAAAATAAATTTCTCCTACAAGTAAAAATAAATATATGTTTTAATTTTTACATAAAAGCTATTTAGTTTTTTGAAAAAGTACGTTAAGATTTTTTAATTTATGAAAAAATTAATATATTTATTTTTAAAGAAAAGTTATCAACCATAAAAATGTAACACAAGATAGTAACTATATTCTGTAAGCATGTTGTTAGAAGTTTGATTTCTAAATACGAAGAAGAAACTTAATCAAACAGTTCTCACAAAGGAAGGGAAGACATTGGGAGGGTAATTTAAAACACTGATAGATAAGATCCTAAAATAGGGAATGAAGTGGAAGATAGGACATGCATGGTGTTGTGGCCCTTTGGAAGACCCATAATATGTGGTTATCATAAACTATAATCTTCAAATGGATGGACAAAAACAAAAAACCACAAAAGTGTAGGGGACACTTGGGTTCCCCAGCCAGAGCAGAATTTGACACCTTTGATGGTCCACATGCCTGAAACAAATTCCTCTACTTTCAACCCTCCTATCATCTAACTCTCTTCATCTCAAAGCCTTTGAATTTTCCTTTTCACTACTCTACACTCCAACTTTTCCTTTTTATAAAGTGAGTCACTTTTCCCTCAGTAAATGAAATTCTCAGCCATCTTTGAAATTACATGTGCCACTAAAGTACAAAAACCTATGACTTCTCTCCCACTCCTCCCCTCTATTTAATCCGCTGTGCCTTTCCCTTAGGGACAGTATACCCGTTCTCCCATTCAATTATCTCTGCTCCTTTTAGGCTCTCACCACAACCTTCTATGCTCTAGCCAAAAGCAAACACCAACTACAGGCCAATCAACAATAAAAATACACTTTTTTTGGCCATCTCTTTTCCCTTTCTTTTGGGTGTTTGGCCACCCACCCACTGAACACATTTGCACTCACACATAGAAACACAGGCCACTGGTCGGTTTCAGAGATGGGCAGCATGCACATAGAAACCCCAGGAACTTTGGCTGATGGAAGCAAAGACTTCGATGAAGATGGACGAGCTAGAAGAACAGGTATTACCACTTCACACATAAAAATTTGACATTATTAGGTTGTTGGGATAACCTTCTACACAAATTCTAGGAACACATAATGAAATTTTTATACACCAATCTTAGTCATGAATAAAATATTACTTTTGGGTCATATTTAAATTAATCTAAGTCATGTATATCTTTTGTATTTTTTCCTTCTAATAGTATTTATGAGGAAGCTCGTATAAGAGTCTATTATGGATTTTCATAATTACCATACTTAAAACTTTTTTACTATTGTATTTTTGTCTTGAAGAAGCTACTTTGTGATGTTTCGACTATGGTTTGTGACATGTAAATATGATATGGTTTTTGAATTGATTAATTTAAAGGGACATGGGTGACTGCAAGTGCTCACATCATAACGGCAGTGATTGGCTCTGGAGTTCTATCTCTTGCATGGGCAATTGCACAGATGGGTTGGGTGGCTGGTCCTGCAGTGCTCTTTGCCTTCTCTTTTATCACATACTTCACTTCCACTCTTCTTGCTGATTGCTACCGTTCACCAGACCCTGTTCATGGCAAACGAAACTACACATATTCTGAGGTTGTCAAAGCTAACTTAGGTAAAAAAATTTAAATCAAATGATTCTGAATGAAATTGTTCCAATCCAAAGGACATTAATTTATGTCGGTACAAGTGACACGTGAGAGTTCTAGCTTTTCCAACACTCTTCTCTTATTTATTGCCTTTCAAATAAAAAATCATTTTTAAGAGAGATAAGCCACGTGAGTAGGAAGGAATACTGTTTTTCCCGTGACAGGGTTTTGTATTCCTCTACTGCACTTTGTGGATAATTTTAGTAAGAAAAATAGACCAAACACTGAAGGAATATAATTGTTTGATGCTCCTTTAACACAGTAACATGTTATCTTTCTGTTTATAGGAGGTAGAAAATTTCAGCTATGTGGATTGGCTCAGTATATAAATCTTGTTGGTGTAACCATCGGCTACACTATAACTGCATCAATCAGTATGGTGTAAGTTTCCAAATGAAGTTTTGATGACATAATAGAAGTGTTTGTGTCTGTGTGTTCCCTTAATTTATCTTCATGTGTGTTGAAAATTGATTAGGGCGGTGAAGAGATCGAACTGTTTTCACAAACATGGACATGGAGAGAAGTGCTACATAAATAACTACCCTTTCATGATCGTGTTTGCATGCATCCAAATTGTTCTTAGCCAAATACCAAACTTCCATAAGCTCTCTTGGCTCTCTATTGTTGCAGCAGTTATGTCTTTCGCTTATTCTTCCATTGGCCTTGGCCTCTCCCTAGCCAAAGTCGCAGGTAAACCACCACCCATTTGATTATGATTCAATTTGGTTTCAATAGTTTGACCTAGTTAAGGACCATGTAAGAATTCTTTCCAACACATTGAAAATGATCAAAAGAAATTATAAAATTAATATATTTTAGTTAATAAAAGTGTTGTAATAATAATAATAATAATAGTTGTAACAAAATAAACGGTGATGCTTAAAGGTGGGGGACACGTGCAAACATCCCTAACAGGGGTGCAAGTTGGGGTGGACGTTTCGGGAATAGAGAAGGTTTGGAGGATGTTTCAAGCGATCGGTGACATTGCTTTCGCTTATGCTTTTTCCAATGTCCTCATTGAGATCCAGGTAAGAAATATTTGTTTTTTCTTTATTTATTTCCTAATTATTATATAATGAGTGAGTCATATGAAATAATATAAAAAAAAAGTAATAGAATTGATTACGATAGGGACAACAAAAAATGCGGTGAAACGGTTCGTTGCATGATTGAGTTTGAAAAATGTAGCATTAAAGTTGAAATGTGTGCCTGAATTAAATTTGGTAGTGACATGGTATAGTATTGAACTAGTAGTCAATAGTCACACGTAACACCAACTGCCATTTTTGACCAATAATTTTCTTTTTTGTCGTTGACTTATGAGTGATGCATTATTCTTAGATAAATCAGAATAAATATTTTATTTATTTATTTATTTATTTTAACCTTTTATTTGATTATTAAGAGTCCACATATAGATAGATAGATAGATATCTTGAATGCACCTCTTCAAGTCAATCATTGACATGAAAATTGAAACTCTTTGAATTGAAGGCACAGACCAGTGTCTGCAAATCTTTGGCTACATCTCACCAGGATTTGGACTTTTTCAGTTCAGATTGATGTGACTCATGATTCAATCCTAAACCCTCAACTATCTACATATAATTAATCTTAAATAATGTTATATAATATTATTTTGAGTTTTAAGAATATCATTATTGATAATTAATTATTTAAGCTGTCAAAAGATTATTTTATTTTTTCATAAAAGATACCAGTTATACCTGAAAATAATGTTTATTATTCTTAAAAATAATATTTTTTTAAAATATCATTTCGTTAAAATAATTTTTAAAAAGTTTCCTAATTTTTGTTGTGATGTTTATTATTGTCTGTATTATTCTTTTTTATCAAAACGATTTTTAAATTTAATTTATTAAATAACTTTATTTTTTATTTAAAAAAATAAAAAAATAATGTGTGAAATTATTTTTGAAAGCTAAAAAAAACTAAATAAACAAATCATCATTATGAATGGCACATCCTCTAAAAAGAAATGTGGTCCATGATGTTGCAGGACACCCTGAAATCAAGCCCACCAGAGAACAAAATGATGAAGAGAGCAAGTTTAATTGGGATAATGACAACAACATTATTCTATGTGCTGTGTGGGTGCTTGGGCTACGCTGCATTTGGAAATGATGCACCAGGAAATTTCCTCACAGGGTTCGGTTTCTACGAGCCCTTTTGGCTCATAGACTTTGCCAATATCTGCATCGCAGTGCATTTAGTTGGGGCATACCAGGTAAGTAAAATAACTTCAAATCACTCTTTCTTTACTTCAATCCTTCCCATTCAACAAAAACCATGGTGGGATTTTTCCATGAGCAGGTGTTTGTGCAACCTATATTTGGGTTTGTGGAGAAATGGAGCAAAGAAAAATGGCCAGAAAGCCAATTCATAAATGGTGAGCATGATGTGACTGTTCCTCTCTGCGGAAGCATAAACTTGAATTTCTTCAGGATGTTGTGGAGGACAACATATGTGGTTATCACTGCTGTTCTAGCAATGCTGTTTCCATTCTTCAATGACTTTCTGGGGCTCATTGGTTCTCTCTCATTCTGGCCATTGACGGTTTACTTCCCTATAGAGATGTACATTAAGCAATCCAAGATGCCAAGATTTTCATTCACATGGACTTGGCTAAAGATTCTGAGTTGGGTCTGTTTGGTCATTTCCATCATCTCAGCTGTGGGTTCAATCCAAGGTCTTGTTGTTGATCTCAAGAAATACAAGCCCTTCCAAGCACAGCAATAGAACTTTCACATTCTGTTCCAACCTACCTGAGTCTGTGTGCCAAATTTCTGTGAAAGGGCACACAATATTTATTACTATCTTTCCCAATCGTGGCTCAAAATCCAGAGACAACTTGTTAAACTAAACCAATAATCATACTTAGTTTGCCATGTTACTGGTTTTATTCTGAGTCACTGGTTTTTTTTATCTCTTAATAAATTGTCAGCAAGTTTCCATATTAAAGTTCAATCATCAAGTGCTTATGAACACAAGGATATAACTATGTTCGACTATACATTCAATGAGCAATCCTCAGCATGACTAGAAATTAGACATGTTATGCATAACACAACATATATATAATATGAAGAAACTAATATCAAATAAATTTTATAAATGAGTTCTATAAATTAACTCTAATTTTAATTTATGAACAAATTATCTATTTATTGTTTCTTATGTTTATCTCATGAATAAGTTACGGGTTGATTTAATTTTATTTTTTAGATTTTGAAAATAATTTTAATAATTAATTTTCAAGAATTATTTTTTAAATAAATTGGTAAAAAATATTAAAAATGTTAGTTTAAAAATATTTTAAAAAATATTAACGATAATAAAGATTTACTACAAAAGTTAATGACAAAAATAAACTGTAAGTATAATTTTTTTATTTTAAAAAAATAAAAATTAAATAATATTTCTAAAATCTATTTTAATAAAATAATCTATTTTCAGAACAGTAAAAAAAATAAACCACAATTTAAAAAACTGTAATCTTTTATATTTTAAAATTGTATAAAATTATAAAGATGATTTGTTTATATATATATATATATCAACCTATTAAAGTAACTAGCTTGCTTTGAATTTTAAATGTTTACACGATTTTTCCTTGAACAAGTTATTATTAAAATGGTGAATGAGTTGGTGGCAGTAAAGGAAGGAAACATTTGAAGAAAGTGAGAAGATGTGGTGAATGAGTGAAGTAGATAATTGATTATGATTCTTGAATTGGGTTTCTTTGAAGAATGATTAAAGTTGAAATATGAAGTCAACTAGTCAATAGTCATACGAAAGACCAACCCCTATTTTTTGACCACTGTTTCATGTTTCTATATTTTTCTTTGTTTGTCGTTGACTTAAGTACAATGCATTATTTATTATCTAAATATAGTCTCATTTTGGATTCTGAATTACTTTCCACAATAATTCTTTTTTTTTTAGCAACTGATAAAAAGACATTATTGCTTCTTAATAAACAAAAGTAAAAAAAGAAAAACAATACATAATTAACTGAAACTAAACTAAAAATTGGTATATTATTTTTAAATAATCAAATTTTAGTTAAATAGGGATAAAAACGAAAAAATGGAATGGATTTTTTATCAAATCAAATTTGATAAAAAATAAATATTAAAATTTTTTAATATAATCTCTTATAAAATATATAATATATTTTAATTTTTTTATCTTAATTATGTTAATTTTAAAAAATAAATTTTTATTATATTTTATTTTATTTTAATAATTATTTATTTTTCATTCTCTATTATAATAATCATGACAATAATATTTATTATTTTTTTTATAAAAAATATTATTATTAATAAATTTATTATATATTTATTATATTATAAAAAAATTATTTTATTAAATCCGATTATAACTTTAAATCCTGAACTCAAACCATATGGTTTTAAAAATATTGATTCTAATAAAAAGCTAGTTTTGTCAAATAAGGCATAGAAAAGATAAAAAATAAAGGGGAAGAATGTGAAGATGAGGGTAACTTACGTATTAATAATTTAAAAACATTACACGTGCGGAGAGTAAAAAGAAGAGGGGTGCTATAGGATCTTCTTTAGAAGCAGGTTGAAATCAAGCCCAAGTTTTCTAATTATCGTTTGAACAGGCCTACTTACTAATAATTGTGGGCCGATTACCGGACTCAAATTACCCGTATCAAATTTTTTGCACCTGTAAAATCATTTTATTTTTAAATATCATGAGATATCAAAAACGTATTTAAACTATAATGAGAAATTGACATCAACCAATTTCATTTCAAAAAAAAAAATATATATATATATATATATATATATAATTTTTCTTTTCAAAATTGTACAACTTATTATGATATTATTGATATGATAATATCTTACGCTTATCCAAACACATATTTCACAAAGAGTGCTAAACACAAAAAGACAAATAATGATGATGACTTATAATATATTGTTTTATTATTAAATAAAAAAACTCAATGACAAAAAAATGTGATTACTTGTTACCCAATGATATTCACTCATTAATTTATAGTTTTCGTAAAAAGAATCGTCTAATTCAAACATGATAATGGATCAGTTTTGTTTAAAATTAAAATGTTTTTTAAAAATAAGCACTTTTAAAAGTAATCAATTATCCGAAAACAGATATGATTTGCTTATTAAAATAAGCAGAAATCTACTTAATTTCAAAATAAACAGATTTGACAAGCGCACAGAAAAAAAAACATAATTTTGTTTATTTGATCAAATAAGCACTTATTTAAAAAAACAAACAGAAAAAATCAGTCAAATATCTTATGTTTATCCAAACACGTCTCATAAAGACTTGTAATATAATATTTTATTGTTCAATATTTACTAAAATAAAAGCTGAACACAATTTTTTTTCTAATGATGCTAGATGAGCGTTTGTGTTTTAAAATTATCTCTTTATCTTTTTCCTTTGATAAAAGTCTCACAAAAATTAGTTTGGGTGCTATCTTGTTGCATGATTTAGGTATACATTATGTTTAAAAAAGATTACCAGATGATAGAATTATTAGCTATGAGAGGATAACCTTTAGTACTTGAAGAGTTTAGACATATTAGCTATGTGAGGTTAACCTTTAGTTCTGAGCTCTCCTTTGATAAATCTTCTACACACCTTACATCTGATAAAAGGTTCTGGACTTTACTTTATAGTACCTAGAAGTCCTTCCTGCAGATAACACGAAAAGCCATTCATTTGAGCCAACAAATCAAACCTTAGAATGTGTGAAGAGGCTTGGAATAAATAATTTCCTCAAGACACCACCTACTTGATAGAAGTTGAGCCGAAGCTCAGAAAAATAACTTAGAGGATCACCACTCGGGTTGAGCATTGTTTTAGATTTTGGGTACTTGCTTGGGATCTTGAATATTAGTTATTCATTGATTCCACATCGAAGTTGTAGCTAGGTGGTGAGAGGGATTTTGGTCTCTGGTGGCTAGCAAATTTTTTAAAACGACAGTATTCATGTGAACCTATAAACCACGAGATAGACAAAGGTGCGCAAGGAATTTGCGGAATAAGGTGGTTATAATTGTAATTGAGACTTTTTTTAACAAAGATGATAAATAGAGATGGTAACCAAAGATGGAAACAATTAAGTCAACAACAACATAGCTTAGATTTACAACTTCTACAGCCGCAGGGAGTCGCAGTTCCACATTACTGTCACACAAGAAAAAAAAAAACTTTTATTTAATAAGGTTTCTGAATGTATAACAAGAAGAGGTAGCATCATCATGCACCAAGACCAACTATGGATACTTTGCCGTTTCTAAGAAACCTCTATTGTTGATTGTGTCTCAAAGCATCTTCAAGCTGGGAATTTTTCCTTGCACACTCCAAGATAGTTTTATCAGCAGTGATGAAGTAAGCAGCGATGGTTGCTGTTCACCAAACACAGTCAGATGTTAAAACATGATGAGTTAAACACTTTACAAATATAGTCAAACTGAAGGTAAAAGACATCAAGCATTTTATTTTCAAATGGATCAAGAGCAAAAAATTTCTGTTTGATTTAATTTTGAAAATGAGGCAAGCCATTTTTATTAAGGGCATACACCGTGAATATATGGATTTGTTAATAGAATGACATCAAATTCAATTACTTCTTGCTGTAAAGCCAATTTCAAAATGCAGAAAACTTGTATACACTTCCTTAGATTTTTTAACTATTGTTCTCCTATTAGAATGAAGTTTCACTTTAGTAATTCCGCATAATAAAAGTTTACATTAAAGATCAACATAGATTGCTGATGTGAACATGACCTATGATAAGGGCTAGAGCAAGGGAAACAAAGAAAGCTTTTCAATAAGTATTGTTGGTTGGCCAAATTGTGTTTTGGATTAATCAATTAATGGGCTTTAGTTTAGTTTTATTGCAAGTTGTAATAAGGGCCCAATTGGAAATTTAGTTATCAGTCTTTGGGAGACCAAGAGGGTGCATAGCTGATTGACTTTTGGATGCCACAATTTCAGTTACAATCAATCATTAAGTAGTTTTCAATTCTTAGGTTAATAAATCATTATTAGCATTTATTTTCCTTTAATGAATATTTGTAACTCTGATGGCAAAACTTCTTTATAAGCTGAACCATTCTTATCAAGAAATAACAAGTTAAGTTTTATTTTTAGAAATATTAGAGTTTATCTCTTTTATCTTAGTGAGAGTGATTCTCTTAAGTTCTTGAGTGATTCAAGAATTCTTGGCTGTATCAAAGGACTTTCACATCCTTTGTGTGTTGCCTTCCTTGGAAAGAGTGATTCTTTCCTTCCACCTTCATTCTAATTCCTAAATTTCTTACAAGGTTCTAACTTTAAAGATCCTAAATTACCCCTTGTGATTCATATCAGTTGGTATTCAGAGCCCCGGTTTAAAGGTTTGAACATCAAATTGATGGCAGAGGAGAATAAAAAGAAAATGAGAGAAAAATTTCTTCAAGAAAAGAAAGAAAAAAAGAAGAAGAGTGAAACACGTGAAGTGAAACAGAGCTATTTAGCCATAAAAAGTGAGTATAATGTTAGTTCTACATTCAATTTATCAGACTTATCTCTTTTTTATGTAGATGATGAATCCGATTTGAGGACAAATCCTTTTCAAGAGGGAGAGAATGATGTGAACATGACCTATGATAAGGGCTAGAGCAAGGGAAACAAAGAAAGCTTTTCAATAAGTATTGTTGGTTGGCCAAATTGTGTTTTGGATTAATCAATTAATGGGCTTTAGTTTAGTTTTATTGCAAGTTGTAATAAGGGCCCAATTGGAAATTTAGTTATTAGTCTTTGGGAGACCAAGAGGGTGCATAGCTGATTGACTTTTGGATGCCACAATTTCAGTTACAATCAATCATTAAGTAGTTTTCAATTCTTAGGTTAATAAATCATTATTAGCATTTATTTTCCTTTAATGAATATTTGTAACTCTGATGGCAAAGCTTCTTTATAAGCTGAACCATTCTTATCAAGAAATAACAAGTTAAGTTTTATTTTTAGAAATATTAGAGTTTATCTCTTTTATCTTAGTGAGAGTGATTCTCTTAAGTTCTTGAGTGATTCAAGAATCCTTGGCTGTATCAAAGGACTTTCACATCCTTTGTGTGTTGCCTTCCTTGGAAAGAGTGATTCTTTCCTTCCACCTTCATTCTAATTCCTAAATTTCTTACAAGGTTCTAACTTTAAAGATCCTAAATTACCCCTTGTGATTCATATCAATTGCTGAGGTAAAACATCAATCTTAATAAGAGAACACCAAAAACACCTATGGAGCTATATTTAAGTTTTATCCTTTCAAATAACCACGCAGATCTTAACAAAAGATTTGTTTTATATATAAACAAAATCTAATAGCATTATGTAGAATTAATTATTTGGTTACTCTAAGTTGAGATCATACCAGCAGATATGATAAGTGCCTGAGCAGTATAATTGAGGTTTGCCTTTGCCCATGGGACCATACGAACTGCAGTCAACTGCAAATTTGCAAATTCCAACATTAAGAATAAAATTTAATAAATCAGCATACCATTGTGAATAAATAGTGGCATAGAATGATATAATAGTGAAAAACCAAAAACATTTAGGATTGTCTTTCAACATTATACATCTTCATCACAAATATGCAAGGGCTAAAGTTTGTCAGATTTCTTAGTCATCTTTGAATTATTTTTCAAAACTTAGTAACTCAAAAAGAAAAAAGGTTTCAAATAAACTGGAGTTGAACACAAATCAGTTGTATGGAGGTTCAAGCAATTAACACAACACTACAACCAGTATTCGGGTGATGGTGAATAACATTCTTAATTCTAGCATTATATAGTAGCCAGGGCGGTATATGATAGACAAAGGCAGAGTGCTATATGCCCTTGAATCCAAACTGTTAAATACTTCATTTACAGTCATTAGTTACAAAAGCAACACATATTGACTGAACTTTTCTTTGAAATTGAAAATGAAAAAAATGTAGCACTGATTCTGAAAATGAAAAAAAGTTACATACCGTAGGCACAGCACTAGCAACACAAGCAATGGAAGCTGCCTTGAATCCAGCACGCACACCTTCTGTATATTAAGAAAAAGCCAAAATGAACATAATTCATACTTCTCCAGAACTCTTGCCCCCTTTGACAAGATACAATAGTCACAGAATATGTAGTATACACATGCCCTGCTTTGTTGATGAAAATCATGGACACAGAGGAATGACGACATTTCATTCATGTATGATCAGCAAAACATGCATTACTAATCAGCAGAACAACAATTCAACATTATTCTCCCAATTAGCAGAAATATAAAAGCAAGTAACAGCTCTCTCACCACTCAGGAGTACTTTATTCAAGAAGCAACAATTTTTTCCTTCTCAAATCATACATTGGAAGGCACAATCTTAATTTGAAATTCGTAAAAATATTTGTATAACTTTAAACCAAACATGCACAATGTCAATTTTCCCAAGCAAAACGTTTTCCTTTCAACTTCTAGTAAATTAAAAGCATCCTTCCCCTTTTATACGATGTTTGGAGAAATTAATTTCTTTTACTTCAATCTCCCAAATCTTTAGTTTTTGACACGGAAGATCCTCACAAAAAAACTAACCAATTGAAATGATTCTTACATGTTGACCCTCCGTAACCATCAATCAATCGAACTAACCATAATAAGACACCAAAATCTAAATTTTAAATCAGATTGTCCTAACAAAAACCCATAATCAATCCAATGCATGTTCCATTTAATGATGTTTAAAAAACAAAGCGGAAAAGAACTCGCAAAATGAATAATAATAAAAAAGGGAATACCATTAGTGCATTGCTTGGTCCTCAAAATCTTCCTGTCCTCAGCGGGAGAAGCAACTAAGACACCCTTTTTGTCGGGTAAGAACATGTCCCTCAGTTCCGACGGAATACCCATTGCGTTGTTGTGATTGGTTAACTTCAACGAACCTTTCTCTTCTTTTCTCGCAGGTTCTCTGAATCAAAGCCCCGTGCCAAATTGTTAGAGAGGATGATATATATATATATATATATATATATATATATATATATATATATATATATATATATATATATATATATATATATATATATATATATAATCATTCTCTTTTCACAATCTTGCATGAGAAAAAAATATAATTAATAGAGAAATAATATGGGATACATATAAAAAATAGAGAAAAGAATTAAAAAAATTATAATATTTTTATGTCATATAAAAAAAACATAATATATAATAAACAAAAAAGTGTGTGAAACATATTTAAACGATAGAAAATAAATAAAATTTTAAAAAAATAATTATAAAAAATATAGATAATATAAATATTTTAATTTTTTTATTATTTTCTATAATTATATAAATAGATTTTTATTAATATTTTGTATTTTTGTTTAATGAAATATTAATTTTGTATATTTTTTTATTCCTTAATCATATATTTTTTCAGTTTTTAATATTTTCATAAAATAAATAAATTTAATTAAAAGTTTTTTTATACACATCTTTAATCAACATTATCTCTTAATTTCTTTCTCAAATATAAATAAAATAATTAAAAAATATCTCTTATTTTTTCTCTATTTCTCCTGTTATTACGCATTCTCAACTTTTTTCTTATATTTAATAACTTTTTACATATAATAATATTTATATTTCAAAACTTATATATATATATATATATATTAAATTTTAATTTATTAAAATAAAAGAAGCTAATAAAAATTACGACACAGGACATGTGTTTATGCAAATATTAATAAATAAAAAATTGATGGAAGTTGTTTTTTTTAATAGGGTTGTCAAGTTGGATATTTGTTAGGCCACGAGGAGAAAACAAAATTGAATTCACATTCTATTTTCTTTTTGGTTTTAGGATTCTTTCTACCTCCTCATCACCACTTTTTTCTTGGCATTGGGCCGCCGTACTGAACATATGTTCGGTCTAATTCTTTTAGTTGAAATTCATTTTTAGGTTTAATTATAATTCTCATTTTATATTTTACGTTGTTTTTAGCTTTTAACTTTTTTTTTTACAATTTTATCATTCAAAAAATCGCATAAGCTATTAATGTAATTTACTCCCTTATAACCTTTACTAAGAGTTACATAGAGGGGGAGAAGAGTGAGGGTAGAGATGATATTTTAAATAAATATGAAAATATTAAATTTAGATAAGTACCTTTTATGTAAATGGATGAGAATGATACTTAATTTTTAAAAATAATTTAAAAGCATAATTAGTTTATCCATTATATTCTAAACAAAAATATATCCAATCCATCCATTAAACCCATTAAATCTATCCCATCCGTTCAGTAGACATATATTGAAGTAGCATGAAGTTGAGCATAGATAAAATAGATGGTATATACGAAAGAAAATGTAATTTTTTTTTTTTACAAATATACCATGATATGACATGTATTTTGAATATACATAATAGACTACCACAACTCTTTCTAAGAATCCACGCATCTTTCGCCAAAGAACACACAGCATGTGTTTGAAGCCTCCTACCAGTCCGAGAAGCAAAACCTACATCAGAGGCAGCTACGTCATCCAGGGCCAAATCAAGAACAAGCATATATAAGCAGTATCTCATGATTTGAAGGAAGACCACAACAGAGATCATTAACATGATGTAGTTTAAGGTTTTCTATGTTCTCAACACCTTTCTTTGTGTGGTGAAATGCTGCAGAAGTAACAACTGAATGATTTTCCAGGTAGGAGAAACACACGTCAAAAGGATGGCAAACTTGATACATATAGCATCCAACCAATTCCGGACTCTGAGTTTGTTTGTACACATTCTTCGTAGCCAGATGAAACCAAGATGCTATTTAAGCTTACCAGAAGCTAGATATATATATATATATATATATATATATATATATATATATATATATATGTATGTATGTACTACATATCCAAATAATAATGTAAGTTTGAGGTAGTTGCCTCATTCCTTAACTTCGTTAGAGCGATTTTCTCTATTTTCCTTATCCTCTCTTTGCTAACTTTGAAAAGAGTCCCTATATCCTGCAGAGACCTGGGCTGGTTATCATTAAGGCCAAAGCGTAGGGTTAGTATTTGCCTTTCCCTTGAGTTCAAGCCTTTCAGAAGATCATGCACGTCTTTTCTCATATGCTGCTTCATGACAGCATCTTCAGGATTCTCGATTGTAGCATCGGGCAGAAGTTCCTGCAGCATTAATCCACAAAACAGTTTATACACTTGACATAAGTTTACAAGATTATTCATGAAAATATAGTACTCCTACACAGGTTAAAGTCTTCAAATCATATAACTGGTTGCAGGATAAGTGAAAAATAGTATGATGGAAACTTTTTACCCACCTACCCCAATAGGAATGTTGTGTGTTCTATGACTGCCGATGGGTATTAAAAAAATAAAACATATAACTGATTGAGTTACACGAGTGAGGTAAGGTTGGTGACTAGAAAATACATCTCTCAAACAGCGGTAACAGCAGTACAACCTTGACTTAGAGAAAGCATTTTCAAACACATGAACGTACACCAACATACATGATGAACAAAATTCTGTGAGGCAAAATAAAATTAATAACAGGAAAGAAAATGTAGTTCTCGCAGACATTGGATGCACACAACAATAGAGCACTTTTTTTCCATTCGTTAATTGATGTAATGAACACGGCAGGTAATTTATCTTTTTATATTCTTTCCTTTCCCTATAGGCAGAAGTCTTTCTCATACTCCCAGACATTTATAAGACTTTTCACTTTCTTTCTTCTTCCATGACAAAGCCAATGATGATTAAAAAAATACCATCACTAAGATCATAACATGCGATAAAACACGGATAAGTAGCAGCAAGATAGGCAAAGACATGGAGAATCATAGTCTTACATTATATTGAACACCGAGGCAATCCCCCACCTTCTGATCAATTGAAGCAACTATTCTCAGACAATTGCTAGCTGATTTGATTTTATCCAGTGAAAGGCCTGTCATCTTTGCAATTTCATAATCATCTGGCCATCTCTTGTGTGTACTTTTCATGACTTTTCGTGCTTTCTGGATTTGATTTATTGCCCTCTTTAATGACCACTAAAAAGAATAATGAAGATTAAAAGAACACGGGGATCAAATTTTAGGTTGTCTTGGATGAGACTGGTACTAAGAAACAATCTCCTAAGCAAAAGAAGAACATACAGGAATTATGACTCCTCGAGCATATCGTTCCATCACTCTTAAAATTGATTTCCTTATCCAGTACTGCACATAGGTTGAGAATTTGTAGCCCCTTGTACAGTCAAATCTCTCAGCTCCTTGAAGAACACCTACATATCCTGCCTATGAAATATGTGAACACATGATCAATGAGAAGTTAATCAAAATGGGATTCATGCAGGTGTTGATAGCTAAATTGGATCAATGAGAAGGTAACTGAAATAGGATTCATGTAGGTCATAAACATTTTAATTCTACAATTCTACTTTCAGTCAACTTCTATTAAGGAAAAGAAAAGTTGCTCTGAGTTAGAGGACAGGCAGCCTCCTAGAGAAAATATCAAAAAAGGAATTGAGCGTAAAAAATATTCTCCCTTTTCATTCTGCACCCACATATATATAACAGAAAAAATTCTAACAATCAACATGCATGGTCCATGACCTCACTACGGACAAATCAACATAACTGACTTACTTCTAGAATATACTGACACCAGCAAATAAACATTTACTAATAATAAATAAATCCTGGAATCCCTTTAGTTTTGTGGATTTGTCTTTTGGGCCTGATATCCTCATTTTCTTCAATATTAAGTGGGCCTTCATATGTAACATCACCATCCCCATCGGTAGCAACCTTGTCCTCAAGGTTATAAGTAGATTGAAGGTTGGACCACTCTTCCCATGAAGTATCGTTGGGAGAAAGACCTTGCCACTGGACCAAGGCCATGCATGTTGGGACTCCATTGACCATAGCAGTCTTGAAACCCAGAACAGTCAGTGGGGTTACCAAGGGATGATTGGCATAGAGTCTGGGGGAAGAGAGTCAATGGTGCTAGGGGGAATACCCACATGAGCCTTCAAAACTGAACAATGGAAAACATTGTGGATCTTGGAAGTGGCAGGTAAGTCAAGTTTGTAGGCAACTGGTCCAATCTTCTCTATTACGCGATAAGACCCATAAAAACGTTTGGACAACTTATGAAACTTAGCACCCAAAAGCGATGATTGACAATAGGGTTGGAGCTTAACATAAACCCAGGATCCCACCTCAAAACTGAGTTCTTTGCGCTTCAAGTCCACATTCTTTTTCATCAGTTTTTGGGCTTTCAGCAGATTATGCCGCAGGAGTGAGAGAACTTCTTCACGTGAGGAGAGTAATGAATCACAATCAACGACTTGAGAGGTGCCAGCCAAATACTCAGGAATGGAAGGAGGTGGCTTGCCAAATATGATTTGGAATGGAGAGAGCTCTGAACCAAAGTGAACGGAGGTGTTATAATAGAACTCTGCCCAAGGGAGGAATTTGAACCAATGTTGCGGTGTCTCATGAACAAAGGCTCAGAGGTATTGTTCAATTGTGTGATTCATAACATCCGTTGGACCATCAGTCTGAGGATGGTATGAAGAACTCATGCGGAGAAGGGTACCACTAAACTTGAACAAGTCTGACCAGAATTGGCTCATAAAAATCGGATTTCGATCCGAAACAATGCTCTTGGGCAACCCATGATGCTTACAGAACATAGAAACGAAGAGCTCAGTCACCTTATAAGCTGTGAAACTAGAAGGCAGAGCACCCAAATGCACCTCTTTTGAGACCGGATCCACTACCACAAAGATAACAGTATACCCATGAGAGAGAGGTAACCCAGTAATAAAATCCATAGAAATGTCCTCCCACACATGTGAAGGAATAGGAAGGAGAATGAGGAGACCTCTGGGGCGCTTGGTACTGTATTTTGTTTGCTGGCAGACCCTACACTGAGAGATAAAAGAGCGAATATCCTTTGCCATATTGCTCCAATAAAAGTTGGCAGAGAGACGTTTAAGGGTCTTGTTCATAACCGCATGTCCCCCAACGACAGACTCGTGGAACTCTTGTAAAAGCAGAGTGATGAATTTAGAAGAGGAACTCAACCAAATCTTGCCCTTGAATAGAATAAGACCCTCCAACACTTTGAAATGAGGCATTGAAGCGGGGTCAGCGATACACTGCTGCCGTAGGGAGAGGAATTTTGTGTCCTGTAACAAGGATTGCTTCAAGTCATCTAAGAAGACAAATTGAGGCACAGTGAGTACCTGCAATTCGCCGACTACTGGTCCAGTGGATTGGGAAAGAGCGTCGGCAACCACATTCAGTTTCCCGAGTTTGTACTGAATCTCATAGTCATAGCCAAGGAGCTTGGTCAAGTAATACTGTTGCTTTGGGGTCTGGATGACTTGAGTGAGGAGTTCCTTGAGACTTTTCTGATCTGTTTGAATTATAAAGGAGGAACCCAATAGGTATTGGCGCCAACGTTTCACTGCGCTGGTGACAGCATGAAGTTCCCGAATATAGGCTGATGCCTTGGTCATACGTGGACAAAAGACCTTGCTGAAATAGGCAATAGGGTAAGAGTCTTGGACCAAAACCGCACCCATTGTTGTACTCGACGCATCAGTCTGAATAAGAAAAGGCTTAGAGAAATTGAGCAAAGCAAGAACAAAAGCCTCCATCATAGATATTTTGAGATAATCAAAGGCCCTCTAAGCCTGTGGAGACCACTAAAAAGCCCCCTTTCTCAATAGAGCAATGAGAGGATGGGCAATTATAGGCATAGCCTTTGACAAATCTGTGATAAAAGCCCGTTAATCCTAGGAAGCCACGCAAGCTCTTGAGAGAAGTGGGGGTTTGCCAATCCACCATAGCTTGAATTTTGGCATGGTCGGGGGCCACAAAACCATCATCAACCACATGACCCAGGTAATCAACCTGAGACTGAGCAAAAGAACACTTGGTGAGTTTCAGGTAGAACTGATTATCGTGCAAAATATCAAACACCTGACGGAGGTGAATAACATGTTGCTCATGTTGCAGATAACATCAATTGTCCCGTGGCGGATGCCGGGTGGGCCGAGTCACAATCGAATCGTGGCGTTTGGGTTGTTACTCTTAAGTAAAAAGAGTTGCGCTCTGACTAATGGCTATAGCTTTTGGTCTAGTGGTAAGCGCTCGATCCTAACAATTCGTATCAGAGGAGCCAAGGTCACGAGTTCGATTCCTCATGGGCAATTGTTAAGGGGGAGATTATTACGGGTTGCACAATTGTCCCGTGGCGAAGGCCAGATGGACCAAGTCACAATCGGTGGCGAAGGCCAGGTGAGCCAAGTCACTATCCAAGTGGGATTCCTCGTAGGACAATTGCTAAAGGGGAGATTGTTGCAGGTAGTATCAATTGTCCCATGACGGAGGCCGGGTGGGCCGAGTCACAATCGAATCGTGGCGCTTGGGTTGTTACTTTTAAGTAAAAAGAGTTACGCTCGCGCCAAGACCCATCCTTCTTGCACAGTAAAAGAACCGAGGATGAAAAAGGGCTTGTACTAGGGGAGATCCAGTCCGAATCTAACATCTTCGAAATCTGCTTTTCAATTTCCAGTTTATGCGCGTGAGGGTAGCGGTAAGGATGGAGGTTAACTGGGTTGGCACCAGCGACGAGAGGAATGTGGTGATCCGTGGCCCGTGGGGGTGGTAAACTTGTTGGTTCGTCGAAGAGGAAAGAGTAAGATTTAACTAGTTGATTACTAGTATTTGGGTGATGGAGGGAAGGAGGAAT